CTAGAAACAATATCATACGAAAGCTGACTGGCACAACCTGGGGATCACAACCAGACACAGTGAAGACACTGCCCTTGCGCTAAGCTACTCTGCTGCTGACCACGCATGCCCAGTGTGGAACACATCTCACCATGCTAAAACAGTAGATATGGCTCTTAATGAGACATGCCGCATTATCACGGGGTGTCTGCGCCCTACACCACGGGAGAAATGACACTGCTTAGCCGGTATTGCACCACCTGACATCTGCCGGGAAGTAGCAGCCAATAGAGAAAGGACCAAGGCAGAGACATCTCCAGCTCATCCCCTGTTTGAGTATCAGCCAGCACATCAACGACTTAAATCTAGAAATAGTTTTCTAAGATCTACAGAGACACTCGTTGGAACACCCCAGCAAGCGAGAGTCCAAAAGTGGCAGGCTCAAACCCAGAACTGATACTAAATGAGAGACTCCCTCCTGGGCACACAGAAAACTGGCTGACTTGGAAGGCGCTGAACAGACTGCGCTCTGGCACCACGAGATGCAGAGCCAACCTCAAGAAATGGGGCCACAAAGTGGAATCCACGACATGCGAGTGCGGAGAAGAGCAAACCACTGACCACCTGCTGCAATGCAACCTGAGCCCTGCCACATGATGTACAAGGGAGGACCTCCTTGCGGCAACACCAGAGGCACTCCAAGGGGCCAGACATCTAATCAACTACCAAAGGACATCAAAGGACATCTAATCAACTACCAAACTCGCAAATTTTGTGTTTTGCCTGTTTGTTTGTTGCAGAGTGGTGTTTCTTCCCGGGCGCTTTGGGTGCCGAACGCGTGCCTTTTGGCTGCAAGTGTGTCAAGGTTATTTATCCCTTCGCCTTGTTTGTCCTGCCAGAAAAACAAAGCAAACACCTGGGGACGGAATGCCCAGGCACAATATTAAATTCCAGGCCTTAATCCCGCTCTCTTGGCCCAGAAACTGCAAAATGGGGAGGAAAAAAAAGTGCAATTCGTTATACTTTCCAGACAACAACTCCCATCAGCCCCAAACAGGAGTCGGTCACACTCAGTCACACTATGAGTTCTGTTCCTGGGTTATCAATATCATTTCCTAATTGGGTCTATCCTAAAAACATGGGAAAACATTACAATATGTTTTTAAATCCAGTGCAATTTTTAATCTGTGTATTGATTTATTGTAATATCGTTTCTCAAAAAAAATCATTTATGATGATTGGTTTATTTATCCATCGTGTATTTATTTATTTATTATTGGCTTATTTATCGTGTATTTATTTATTTATTGATTTTTAGCATGGTGAGATGTGTTCCACACTGGGCATGCG